ATAAAATTTTTTTTCGGCACAATTAATTTTTCCATACTGCTTTTCACTTTTCCTCGTCAGGTAATTGGCATTGGTACTTTTCCAAACTCGTAAAAGCGGGGATAGCCATATCCATTAATTATAATTACCGTTCAATTATTAAGCAGTCAATTAGTTAATATCACTCTTAAATTGTAATTATTGAAGTAATCGTCAATTTAAATATTTCTTAATCAGTTATTGAGTTAGAAGATTGGCGATTATTTAGATAATCGGGAGTCTCTTATAAGAAATTTAGTATTATTTACTTAATAGAAAATCTACTATTCCATATTATTAAATATTTAATTCATCATCAACTGAAAATTTAGATCACCAATTATTCAAACCTTTTGTAATTTCGATTAGTATATTTAAACCTTGATTAATGTAAGTCGGAAATTTTTTTAATGTTGAAGAAGGATAGGGGTCATTTGGTCCAAAAACAATTCGTCCAATGAATAATACGTCCAATTTGGCCCAGATTAAACGGCATAAACACACCATAAACACAGGTAAATACAAACACGAACCCGAGAAACTCAAAACTAATTACCCATCGATAACGACACCAGACCAGATTCACGTACACGCGAACAACGTACAAACCCAGTACAACAGTACCTTTAGAACTGCCATCGAAGACAGATCGAAATTCAAATTCGCGCAATAAATAAACGAAAAACCTAGTGTCTAGTGATCGAAGGAGAATGAAATAAAAGTATAAAAAACCCTGACAATTGAATTTTTATGGACAGTTCACGATGGATACGAATGAGGAAGAGTACGGAACAATTGTTCCATCAAACAAAGATCGAGATAAACTAACAGTGCGTGGATTTTTGCACACCCTCAGATACTCGAAAAAAAGAAAAAATGAAAAAAAAATCCCTACATAATTTCCTATTTCCCAAAATAATCCGCATTTTTTTGGACCAAAATTACATTGGGTAAAGAAAATATTGGACTAAAGGATGATTGGACGAAATAAAATTGGACCAAAAACTTCATTGGATGAACTGATGTTGGACGAAAAGAGATTGGACCAAAAGATTTTGGACCAAACGTACCGGAGCCTTGCAGAATCGGAAGATTGCTGGTCGTTCCTGCGTGAAAGTGAAAATCACTACGGAAAAATACGAGTGAAAAACCTCATGGCACTATAGTCCTGAAATACAGGGTTGCCAGATTTTGGCGATTTATAGCCAAAACCTGTACAATTTTAAATGGGGTGACGTCACGATCTGGTAACACTGCTGAAATATACTATTTAAGCAGCGAAGCGGTAAAACGGTTTTAGTCGATTTCGACTATTGGTCAGTTTTCAATAAATACCTCGCAATCTAAAGCAGATAGCGAAATTTTTGTCATAACCTTTTTTGGAGAGCGAATTGAGAGCTACAAAAAAATTGTCACAAAAATTTCGCTATCTCCCGTAGATTCGAAGATATCCCTCGAAAACTCAGCTGAAAGCTGAGTCGACTAGAATTATTCTACCGTTTCGCTACTGATTTTCACTCAGTGTACGTAGAATCGAGGAATCAGGAAGTTCTGGTACGGCCACTCGCTTCTACCCAACTGTCACTAATACCCAATTTCGGGAGCGAGCTACCAACAATCCACTCCATTATATCACGGTCGGTTTTCAATCATTTTTTGGCAAATCACACGTGTGAGTGAAAGTAAAATGCCACCTCTGTCATCACGAATTAACTTAATTCGACAATTACAGTGGACGCACAGTCGTGCACATAATATTCCCCAATAATCTTGCGAACTTATTCCGAGAACTTCCCCTCGCACACGCGAGTGAGGAGATAATTTTACTCGGCGGAATTTATGCTGCGTTCAAGATTGATCATGTTCACTGTCGCGTTATGCGGAAACAAGTTGAGAATCACACATGCAAGAAAATTATTATTTACTTTATTTTCGTTCTCTACTAATTGCGCGATTTCGGTTCAACTCGAATAACGTAAATACGTGGATTTATGGCTAAAATATGGAGTAATTGCTTTCAGCGTGATTTCATACGGAAGCTGTTGAACGTGGGGAAAAATTCACTGATGAGAAATGTTCCCGCTCGTTAAACCTCGGCCAGCGAATGCGGTCGGTTTTTTCGTATCTCTTTCTTCCATTTCTTTTTTTACAATTTGGAGAATTACGGTAATAAATTTGCATTAATGTTTCGCGAATGACAGATTTATCATGGATCATTGAATTATTATTGGGTTTGAAACAAAGATAATTCTAGGTGAGTTGTAAAGTAATAATTAATTTTATAAAATTAATGAGTTCATTTTGACACTTGTTCATTTTGCATTCACTTTATAAAAAAAAAAATAATAATTTTGGGAGACAATATTATGAAACATTGCTTGCATCTGAAGAAAAATATGAAAAGGATTTCTCTCACTCATCCTCTGAAAACCACTTCATTCCCAAGTCATTTAGGGGTTTGAATTTACTAATATATTTTCAGGTATTATGAAAATACCGCAAATCTTCACTGTTTAGATAATTTTTTTTGCAGCCAATTCATCTTGACATTATCGTCTAAAATTCATCTTTATGAGAGAATTCCATTCTTCGTGGGTAAAAGAAAAGAACAGTTCAATTTCGACATTGTTCGTTCATTTTTAGCTAAACGTATGAAAATAAAAATAGAGAAACCGTTCTGTTTTCTGAGAAAATGTGATTTTCATCGACTTTCTATCATTCAATATCTATTAAAAAAGTGCGTGCTACACGGAGAGAAATATTCAATAAAAATTACGTATCTTTTCCGTAATTCCGGAGTGAAATGCGGTTGTAGGAAATTTTACGAAGCTGTCGCGGAGGTTTTCCAGAGCGTTCCGTAATTTTTATCTGAATCTCCTGTGAAAAATTACGATACCGTCACTTAAATTTTCTGACTCGATTCCGTAATCGGTGAGTGAATTGTGAGTTCCGTAATTTTTACTGAACATTTCTCTCCGTGTAGAGTTGCATAATTTCAATAGAATTTTACTAGAACTCCGATAAAATTTATAAAGTTTACAACACTATTTTGATAGAATTTCTCAGAGGAAACGCTTGTGTTTTTTAGTTCAATTTTGTTATCCGTGTTTTCCCGAAAACGATCGATTTTATTAAGAAATATCATAAGACCTTGTTAATTGCTGATTATATTGCTAACAAAAAGTTTCTCATATATTTTATTTCAAAACCACTTCTTACGCCGAAAGAAACAAATTTTAATTTTCAGGAACAAGTCACTGATTCTCAGGAACATGTAACTGATATCAGTGTTCATCAGTGATTTCCATTACTGAAATTTGATGGTAATTTCTTAAAAATTAGATATGGGTTCCTGCAAATCAATGACATTTTCCTGAAAGATAGTGAACATGGCCCTGAAAATTAGTGACGATGTCACTAAAAATTTCACAATGACGAATTCTCAATAAATGGGCATAAATTCCTGAAAATCGATGACATGTTTTTAATAATTCGGGATGGATCCCTGACAATCAGTGACGTGTCCCTGAAAATTAAAACTTTTTTTATCTGTGTATCGGTATAATTCCGTCTTCAACAAAGTCCCATGAATATATGTTAAAGGCCTATGAAAATTTGAGCATCAGAATTTTTTTTGCACAATACAGCAGCGTCTCGCTTTAAATGCGATAAAAATTACTCCAGCGAACAGCAAAATCTTTCTGTAACTAGTAAAATTAAACCATTCTACCGTACTCCACCGTAATTTTTCTGGTATTTTGGTGTCCGCGTAGAACATTCCATTTTCACTTCCAAGTGGAAAAGGAAGATTCAGTAAGCCACGATAGCTCAAATGCGACATAGCTGGTTGAGTATTCATTTATGTCCAAAAAGGTTACTTTATAATTAAAAATTTCGAAAACCTCTTCATTTTCTGAGTAAAATTCGAACATGTTCTACCGAATGAGAATAACAAATTGAACAAAAAGAAAAAAAGTTGCGATTTTCAGGTATATCGCTGATTTTATAGATGATGTCCCTGATTTCGTAGATGTCACTGATTTTCAGGAATCTACCACCTATTGTTGATGATACCCGATACTGACCAGAATGATCTTGATTAGCAGTGATTTTTATCACAGAAATTTGGTGATAGATTCATGGAAATTAGAGATGGATGCCTGAAAATCAGTGACGTTTCTCTAAAAATTAGTCACAAATTAGTCACTGGAAAGTAATGATAATGTCAGTGAAAATTGGTGACAAAGTCACTGAATTTCATAATCGCGCACTGAGAGAAAAATATAATTCTTCTGACTATATTCCATCACCATCGAATTATAGTCAAAAAGTCCTCAACAATTTTTCATGGGTTACGGTAACTATGGCTGGAGAAGTAATTACTACAATGGAATGTAGTCATTCCAACTATTTTATAGTTCTCCTTACGATAGATTTGTCGTTGTTACTTTTGAACTTTGGTTAGTTTAACTGCATTTTGATTTGCTAAAATTACGCTTGTGAAGTTACTATAATCTTATGTGCCGCATACAAAAAAAAAATCGTATCGTTCACCAAAATGCCTCAACTATTTTCTTATTGTAAATCGAACTTCAGATTTTTCTCTCAGTGCGAATCACTAACAATTGAAAATAAATTCCTGAAAATCGGTGACATGTTCCTGAAAAACCAAACTCTTTTTCCTCCATAAATCGATTTATCGTCTTTTAATTTTTTAATTATCAATAACATCAGTTAAGGTACAGTGTTTTTTGTGCTGTTTTGCTGGTCCGTTTAGTTAAAAGGAAATGTTTGAAGTAAATGAAAGTTTCTTAAATAGATGAAAATAGAGTAATTGCCCTAATGACGACTGAGATTTACCCCTCGAAACGTTGGCAAAAGTAAACGGATTTTTTCTGTTAATTCACTGTGGACGTTAAAATAGCCGAGACTCCAAATGGCCTGGAGAAGGAGAAATTAAAAAAACTTCAATATCTACTCACATCTTCGTAATATCATTGGCCCTAGCACTCCAAATTGTTCCAATGGCCTGTTGGACGCTGGTTAATCCAGCACCCCGGCACACAATTTCCCTCCCGTCGGCGCTGACATTGCACGCCTCCAGCAGGCCCCACTCACTGTATTCCCTCACTCCAGTGTCACCAATGACCACAAAAAATCCAACAAAAATACCAAAAACAATTGCAACTGTCTCACCACCCCGAAACGTCCTACACATGCTTTTCCAATCCACCACTGTTGATTATTCTCCCCCTCACGTCTGATATCTCAAACAGCTGCAATAACTCCGAAATCACATTGCTGGGGAGTTACAGTCGGCATTGACTTCCATAGGGTTGAATTGATGTTGAAATAACAACGCTGTCTGATACCCTATTGCCTTACTCCCTTCGGGCTCCTTGGGTGAAGGACAAATGTGTTTATTTGGCCAGTGTAAGCCACGGGGTTTGGGCGTAGACGGGCTGATTACTTGCCCGATTGACGGTGCCTCGGGTTTACCACCCTCATCCCCGTGATTCTTCATTCCACCTTCTTCAATGCCACCAAAATCATCATCCGGCTATCTCCCTCCTGACGGTACTGCGTGCCTCTCCAGAGACAATTCGCTACTTCCCTCACGATTTTTTAATCATTTCCATTTTAATGAGAGACGTGAATCAATCAACATCCAAATAACAATTATTATAAGAATTTTAAAAATCAATTTCAATTCAAATTCTGCCCCGGAAAGTTAACGTGAGAACACTTGAGTGATCCTCTATTTACTTCACAGAATTTAAACAATTTTCGTTAGAGAAAGAAATCCTGTGAAAGAACTCAATTTTTCTCAATTCGCTCTAACTTTAAAAGTTCTTTCAAGTTTACGTGAGATTATATCGGGACAGTCGATGCTTCAATTTGTTCTCTATTATCTCCAAAATTTTTAATCATTTTTATAAAAGAAAAATTATGTCGATTCGACGTTTGCAGGAGGATTAAGCGAGGAATTTTCAAAAAAAGATGTTTCCTCTTGAGTTAACGTGAGAACACTCCAGGTGATACTCGATGCTAGTGCACATTCGCCGGTGGTATCCGATGTACTGAAGTGTCTGTTACTTACCCACCTCTTTCACTCTCAACTCTCCCCCCCCTGTCTTTTTTCCCAAGTAAATTCCCTCTCTGTTCAAACGTTAACTCAACAAAACCCATTGAACATCGCTCTCCCCCCACCCACCCCCAGTATTTTTTTATACACTTTATTATAGGTGTATGTACGGCATGCAAGTGGGAGCGACGATCATCCGGCCTCTGGGTGGTTTGCGGCTCTGCCGATGACTGTTCGGTTCGACTACTCCAGCGAAACACACGCTGCGGGAGGAAAGAATGGAGGGAGAAAGAGAGGAGAGAGAGAGAGAGAGAGAGAGAGAGAGAGAGAGAGA